TTATGAATGGCCACGGCATCCAAGTATCCTTCCCCTGTTACAATGAGTTGCAGTGAATGTAAAGGCACCATTTTGAGGACACTTCAACCCAGAACTTTTTCTTTATTTTTCAACATTCACTCATTCTTTTTCAAATTTTTGGATTTCCTGGACTTCCGGGAGGGTGAGTAGTAATACGAAGGAAATTTGGAAGTTGAGCTATTCGATAAGGCAAATTGAAAATTTACCGAAAAAAAGTCGGAAATATTTTGGAAAATCAAAAATTGATTTTCATGCGCAACATGTATTAATCGAAAATCTCCATTCTTCCGCATAATTTGGAGATGAGAGAAATTTTTTTCGAAAAAGTCATAAAAATTCTACCTGCTAAGTGTAACACTCATGTAAAAATCGACAGAAATCACGACAAACACACAAAAAAAAATTTTTTTTTAATTGCATTGGAAATCAAAAAGTTTTGTAAGAGATACCTTCAGAACGGTTTCGCCCACAGACTTCAAGGATACCGTAAGCGTACGATTCGCGTCAGATGGGACTATGTCGGTGAGGTCAAACCTAAAACCATTTCCTACACTTCAAAGGCACGATGAACCAATGTATTAGTCTCCCACCTATGCGGTCTATAGCTCAATTTCGACGAAGAACTGAGCTCTCTTCCTCTCGAATCACGGAATAACACTCTAAGCGCAATCTTGGCTCCAACTGGTAGGTTCATAAGAGGTGTGGAAGTGACTGGCTCTAATTTCGTGAGCAACTTGACGTCCAAAGAATTAACGGCAGCGATCGTTATGGGTATTATAGCGGTTTCATTGTCAGGTTGATCCGTTCTGCGAATATATACAGCTGCGGGTCCTACAGACGATTTTGCGCGGGCAATGCCATTTTTCGTGACAGAAAGACGATTGGCATACTCAGAAGGCACAGAGTACGCTACGGCAGATTGTGGCCTGAACAAGAGAGTGACTTTTTGGGATAAATATTTTCTGAATATTTACCAAGCTGTCTCAAGCTGAATTTCGCTATTTTGAGCTAATCTAATGACAGGTATAGGCATTTCTGGCCGCCGCATTGATAGAGGTTCTTCTACACGTATTTCTACCGTATCTTCAAACGCCTGCTTCTTGCCAATAAAGTGCTGTTTAGCACTTGCAGATGGCTCCACGCGGACCTCAAAATGTTTGATAAAAAAAAACATACAGTCAGCATCAACACAAACAGACCTTTACAGTAGCTGAGCCCGCTGCACCTCCTTCCAACCATATGGCAAAGTGATTCTCATCCTTTTCTGTGATTGAAGAACCAAATGGGTGAACAGTTTGCAGTACTCCAGGATGGCTCACAGTCCAAGTCACCTGAACTGGCGTTCGAAAGAGAAGTATCTCGCAATGCTGACCCAAACTTACC